AGAATCTTTAAAAGATTATGCACAACTCTAAACAATTTTGCAAGAACCTTGCTAGATCTTGCAAGATAAACCTAGTTTTGCAAGACTTTCAAGAAGTTTTTTTTTAGAGAAGTTAACAGCGGAAGGACAACAAAACAGTGATCGTGGAACAAGCTTTGCCACTAGAAAATCTTTCAGGAGAGAGCGAGGGGATATGCTTAAATTCGATCGACTAAACGACTCTAATCTCTAGCAAGGCATTACAAAAATTATTGGTAAGACTCGAAACATAAACTAAAATGCATCATGATTTAGTAAAAAAAAAATAATTAAAAGCAACAACCGTAAAATAAATATGGCAAACGCGAAGTCTTGAATTAAAGAAGAATCAAAATCAGAAAATTAATTTCAAAAAAATGAATAACTTGACCACTGCTGGTGTTAAACCTAATAACTTGTTGCAATGGATTTACATTCTCTATCAACTGCACCGAATCTAAGTGGTATTCAAACACTGGCCACAAAGACAAAATATTTTCAGCACATGCTAAAAAACTGCCAATAGTCATACTTTTAGTTTCGACTTCGATAAGAAAAAATTGGCCTGGTAGAATAACACAAGCATTTTGCTGGTGCAATTGCAAAATTTTGTACGCACATAAACTCGACGCAGAGTCAATTTTTGCTGTCAAAGCCAATTGTTTTGCAACTGCTTCATGATCATGCAAATTCAAAATCTTCAAATATAAACAGTAGCTTAAAAAATCTTGCAAGATAACCATCCACTATCGTTTAGGGATGCGTACTTTTTTAGTGCACTCTTTGATTTTTTTCATAGGTTAATATGTACAAGTCTGTAAATGCGAAAATTTGGCGCAATTTCTGGACCTTAATTGTAGGACTCAACTCGGGAAAATGATCAGGTTTTGGTAAGAACCAACAATATCGAACAAAAGTACTGGTTTTAGTGTGAAGCCCTGAATGCTCCAACTGCAATTTAAGGCCTGTGTACTGGTGTTTGCTTTAGAAAATGGATCACACTTTCAAAAAATGAAAAACTTGAAAAATTATGATTATTTTTTTAAAATAGTCCTCCCTCACGCTATCTAAAGTAAATGGTGATAAGTTTCAAATTTGAGAAAACTCTTAAGCAGACCAAAAATCATCCCTCCTCTCAGTTTGGAACCAATTCTGAGTTGCAATGAATTTTTGCTTACGCGTTATCAGCACAAAATATTTTTCAAATTCTCCCAATTGGCAATACTTGAATCCCCATAATTTACCGAATAATGACCACAATTGAAATATTGTTTTAAATTTAAACTCAAGACAACAATCTTGTCCAAATAATTTCTTATTAAAAAATCACAACAATAAAAAAAAATTATCGAAAAAATATCTGAATGTTGCGCTTTGCCCCTTAAGTTCAAGCAACCAATCATCTTTTGAAAAAAAAGAAAAACAAAATATGAAGTCTCCAGCAACAAAAAAAATCTGAAAAATTTGCTTCAAATCAAATTGAAACACTTTCTGAGCACCAAAATACCTCTATTCACGCGTTAAAACAATAAAAAACAATGCGCGCTATTTTCACAATTTAGCCAAGTTAGCAAACTTCATACTGTCATAGCTTTTTACCAAATAATCACAGCAAAAATATAATTTTAGATTTGAACTTAATTCGTATTTTACGTTTTAAAAAGTAAAAAAAAAACTGTGGTTTAAGCGGCAAGACAAAATTGAATTTTGTCTGAAGGAAAAACTTCACCCAGTGAGATTATTTTGTCTTTTTTTCGAAAATCAGATGAGCAATATCCGCAGGTTTTCGAGGAAATGATGCATTATTTCTACTGGGTGTAGTTTTTTTTTTCTTTTAGACAAATTTCGAAATTTTGACCTACTACTTAAGCCAAGCCGAGACGGTGCGGCTTTCTAGACCATGGCGGAGATGGCGCGACTAAAAAAAACTCCTCGTAACCTTCGCTACCGAGGTTTCACCGTATCCACCTCGGTCGCGAAGTTCGCGAGGAATTGTTTTTTGGACGCGCCGTCTCTGTCTCGGTCTGGAAAATCGGGCTGTCTCCGCTCTAGCCGCGAAATTTGCGCCATGCCCGCCTTGGTCGCAAAGGCCACGAGGAAGTGTTCCTTAGTCGCGTTGTCTCCGTCTTGGTCAGGAAAGTTCCGCCATCTCCGTCCTGGCCTGCGTAATCGCGCCGTCTCCGCCTTGGTCTGGAAATTTGTGCCGTCTCCAACCTGATCTGGAAAGTCGCGCCGTCTCAGCCCTGGTCTCAAAAGTTGCACCGTATCCACCTCGGTCGCGAAGGTCACAAGGAATTGTTTCTTGGTCGCGCCGTCTCCGCCCTGGTCTGGAAAATTATGCCGGTTTCGCTTTGGTCTGAAAAATTTAGCTGCCTCTGCCTTGGAAAGTCGCGCCGTCTCCATCCTGGTCTGAAAATTGCGCTATTTCCGCCTTGGTCTGGAAAGTTGCGCCGTCTCTCTCCTGGTCTGGAAATTAGCGCCATCTCCGCCCTGGTCTTAAAAGTCGCGTCGTGTCCACCTAGGTCGCGAAGAATTGTTTCTTGGTCGCATCGTCTCCGCCTTGGTCTGGAAAATTGCGCCGTCTCCACTCTGATTGCGAAAACCCAGACGCATCCACATCGGTTTCAAAAAAGTTTGGCCCGTAAAAACGCGCCGTACCTGCCGTGGCCTGGAAAGTTGCGCCTTCTCCACGCTGGTCCGGAAAGTCGCGCAATCTCCGCGCTGGTCTCAAAAGTCGTGTCGTATACACCTCGATGGCAAGGAAATACTTCTTGGTCGCGCCGCCTCCACCTTGGTCTGAAAAGCCGCGCCGGAACTCCCTTGATCTGGAAAGTTGCCGTATCCACCTTAGCCGTCCTCGCCTTGGTAAGGAAAATTGCGCCGTCTCCCTGTTTGTCTCAGATGAATTTTTTCTTAGTCGGGCTGCCTCAGCCTTAGTCTGGAAAGTCGCGCCATCTTTACCTTGTTCGGAAAAGTTGCGCCGTCTCCACCTTGTTTGCGAAGTCGCGCCGTCTCCAACTCGCAAAAAGGTAGAAACTTTTTTTCGCGCGGTAATGCCGGTCATGCCTTTGCATTTTGAGTCGAGCCGTTTTTCTTAGTCGCGCGGTCTCTATATTGGTCGCAAAAGTCCCGCCGTCTCCAATTTGGTCGAGAAAGTCAGGAAGACTGAGGTTTTTACTTTACAGCATTACATGTTTTTTTTGGCAAAATAAAACTGGGAACAAAAAAAATGTATAGTTTTTTTTGCCAAGAACTTGGCTCGCACATTTAAATGTTTTTTTTTGTGGCTCAATTGAGATCAATTTTGCAAAATCGCGCTATTTTAGACTTGGTCTGGAAAGTTGCACGGTCTCTCCCCTGGTCTAGAAATTCGCGCCGTCTCCACCATGGTCTCAAAAAACGCTTCGTGTCCACCTCGCTCGCGAAGAAATGTTTTTTGGTCGCGCCCTCTTCGGTTTGGTCTGAAAAATTGCACCGTCTCCGCCTTGGTCTGGAAAATTGCGCCGTCTCCACTCTGATCGCGAAAGCCGCGCCGCATTCACACCGGTTGCAAAGAAAAGTTGGCCGGTAAAAACGCACAGTCCCTGCCTTGCCTTGAAAGTTTCGCCGTCTCCAACCTGGTCCGGAAAGTCGCGCCGTCACCGCGCTGGTCTCAAAAGTCGCGTCGTATCCACATCGATTGCAAGGAAATACTTCTTGGTCGCGCCGTCTCCGTCTTGGTCTGAAAAGCCGCGCCGGAACTCCCTTGATCTGGAAAGTTGAACTGTCTCTACCATGGTCTGGAAAGTCGCGCTGCCTCCCTCTTAGTCTGGAAAGTGGCGCCGTCCTCGCCTTGGTCTGGAAAATTGCGCCGTCTCCGTCCTTGTCTCAGAAATATTTTTCTTAGTCGGGCCGCCTCAGCCTTGGTCTGGAAAGTCGCGCCATCTTTACCTTGTTCGGAAAAGTTGCGCCGCCTCCATCTCGTTCGCGAAAGTCTTGAAATAGCAACTTTTGTTCGCGCCGGCAATGCCGGTCGCGCTTTTGCATTTTGAGTCGCACCGTTTTTGTTAGTCGCGCCGTCTCCAATTTGGTCGAGAAAGTCAGGAAAACTGAGATTTGTACTTTACAGCATTACATATTTTTTCGCAAAATAAAACTGGGAATAAAAAAATATGTAGTAATTTTAGCCATGAACCTGGCTCGCACATTTAAAAGTTTTAGTGTGGCTCAATTGAGATCAATTTTGCAAACGAAAGTGCAGTTATCCTATTTATTTTGATTTAGCGGTCAGGTCAATATTTAGTAATTCACCAGACTAGTAAGCCGAGTTATTTACTGATTACTGCAGTTTTGTTTTCAAATTTGTATAGAGTTGATCAGCTGACAAAAAGCTAATCAATCTTTTAAAGAAAAATCAGCCATTTAAAAAAATGCAGTAAAAAATATGGTAACACCTCTGATCTATACATTCCCATGTGAAAAGTTCGAGTTCTTCAATGGTTGTTAAAAGCGGTCGGAGATTTTGATGGCGCAGCAGGGGCGGATTTAGAGGGAGGGGGCGGACTCCCCCAAGGGGTATTGGACTCGCTGCCGACCAAAAAAGTCCCCCTTTGAACTATTTTGAGATATCCATTTTTGGCTGACGGACCCTAAAATATAGTAATTTTAAGAGGGGAGCGCGCGCCGAAAAAACGCGATTTCCAAATAAGCCTAAAAACGCACTTTTGGCCTGTTTTTTTTTCAAAATTTTGCCTGCCGCGCAGAAATTTTGGCCAAAACAGGGACTTTTTTGTGCTATTGAGAGAGCTCGGAAAATCAATTTGGTCGACACCTAAAAAAATGTTGACAAAATTTCGATTTTTTTTTTTTTGAAAATTCGCCCCCGCCCCCCTCGAGAAAACCCTAGATCCGCCCCCTGTGGCGCAGTAATCTAAACTCGGCTCTTGCAAATGAACTTCTTTTCAATTTGCTGGTTGACTCTTTGTTATAGAAAACGATATACACTATTTTCGAGAATTAATTCAATTCAAATAAGCGCACATATACAAAAATGAATACATCATCAAATTTCAAGTTTCTGTTAAAGTTTCGAAAGCACAGCTTTGATTTAACAATGAATACCATGTGAGTGAAGGTTGTAGTTGAAACGTTACTAGCAAATTTTTTTGTCATTGTTCATGACAGTTTCTGTTTCTGGGCTTGTGTTGGTTTGGCGACGCAATAGGAGTTGTGGTCTGGGATGGAAGCGACGAAGTGTTTCATCCACTGGGATTTTATGGAGTGGAGGAAGTGGCCGAAACAGTAGTTGGCCGACAAGAGCAAGTTTCCCACTATAATCATAGCTATGATCTGTAGCCCGTCCATCTGCTGAACGAACGAGTAGGTCCAGTCATTGTACACAATGCCTCGGATAGTGAGGAGGATGTTGTATCCGATTGTAAATACAAGCATGGTCCGGATACCCTGCAATTTACTGCTGCAGTACTCGTGCTCCTTTACTAAGAAGTCAAACAGCATAGTTAGTACTATGAATGTGTGCTGTAGATGCGTAGCGTAGATCCAGTATTTATCTTTCTGCACGTGTAGAGGCACTGCAGCTGCAGGGTCCAGCAGAAAACACCCCCAGAATGCCAGACAGATCAGAGGTGCTTGGGGAAATATAATACATGTGAACATGCGACTTTCCAGAATGGTGAGCAGTTTCACAAGTGTAGCGTGGATCTTCACTGAACTGTTGCCATTTTCCAGGGCTGCTTTGAGCGAGGCAAACAGATGGTAAACTACACAAAACAGATTGAACCAAACAGTCGCGAATTTGAATGCGAAGTTGTAATAATGATAGGCGAAGTGGAATATCTCAATGTAAAGAGCCCAGGCATAGGCGAAAAGGGAAGTCGTGTGAAAAAGCGCTATGATAACTTGACGAAGTGAAATTTGTTCAGGCATCGCTGACTTCCTTTTAGGTGTTTCTGTCAAAGCAGTTCGGTTGCTGAGAGTTCACACCTGAAACAGGAAATAGGTCGCAATAGCTGGAGGGGAAGCACCCTGGGATGATTTTCAGGGCTTTTATTGTTTTCCTTACGAAACACATTTAGTGAGCGGAAACAATTGATAAGATTTGGTTTCTAGGCGGGTAGTCCCACCAATCCAAATTCTAATTGGGAAGCCTAGAGGTTAAAAAAATAGTTTAAGCGGCGCTTTTTGCTCCAAAGTAATTTGGCGAATTTGATTTATTTCATGCAAATTAGTGGAGATTTTAGGTTTCTGTACAAACTGACAATATGCAGCTCTCACATGGTTCTGGCTATGATTGGATTAGCACTTCATCAGCGTGACTCTATGCTCTGACTACCCCAAGGTTGGGAACAAATTATGACCCAGGGTTCATTTTTTCACGAAAATTTAGGTACGACATATAATCATTGAAATAGGTGGAGTGATATATCAAATTGAAGCCCTTTCAGTCGTAATTCGAGCCACACTAAAAACGTTCAAAACGTGTCCCAAACCGGTTTGAAATTTTTGAGTACGTTCGCTGTATGAAAATTGGTCCTTATGAGGCTAACACCTTGATTTTAATAAAAAAAAAAACGAACTAGTTTTGTAAGCTTCATTGGAAGTTTCCTCGGCAATTAAAGTTTCCAAAAAATGAAAAAAATACTGTGCAAAAAAAAATAGAAAAAATCTTCAAGTTTTTTTAAATTTTTTTTCTATAATGTTTATATTTTAAGACAACTGCTGTCGATTATGCATATTTTACTAACTTTCTAAGAATGCGTATGGTTTTCGTATCACATCACGCTAATTTGAAGAACTTGGTACTTTGAAGAATTTTTTTGCAGTTATTAAAGAATGTGTTCGGACGTTCTGTACTACTTGCACAGCAACCGGCTATCCTTGTTTCTAATTGATCTTTGATCAAATTGACAGAGTGTGAGTACTTAGAGGTTATTACCATGAGTGTGAGGGTGACGAAGAAGAGAAAAGGCGTCAAGACTCACCTTGGGGTCATGGAACAAATGATGCATGTGATTTTCTGTGTGAATCTCTAATTCAATTGTTTTTCCGTTCAGTCAGTTTGAGTTTCACTTATTCTTTCTAAACCAAGTTATTATTGATGGCAAATAATAAAGACTATGTGTGTTTGTACTATGGTGGCTCGACAATAAGCTCTTGTAATATTTTACTTTTTCTTTCTGTTTTAAAACAATGGTTACTAATCTGTACAAGCGCGAATGTGTACACTCTGAAACACTGAAAACAGTACTTATCATTTAGAAGAGCTGTAACACGATGACACGTTTTTTCATCTTGCGTTGTCTGGATATAAGCCATGAAAGTTCACGCTGATAATTTTCAAAGAGCTAAAAACACTAAAATTACATCTGTAACAAGAATAGCCGATAACTGGGCAAGTAGCACAGAATGTTCCGTGCATAGTATTAGAAGAAATACCAAAAAAACTTTTTCAATTTGGTATCTTTTCTTTTGCGTGGTGTGATAAAAAGATCTGAGCGAAAAATAGAACTTGGGCATATTCGACAATCATAGTAAATTAGGACAATTGGAAAACAGTTTTTGTAGAAAAACGACTAGAAAAACGAAAAGCAAATCGTTGCAAGAACTCAAAAGAAAATTTTAATTATTTTCAATTTTTTCTCTGAAATTGTTTGTTTGAAAGTTTTTTTGATTTCTAAAATTGCACTAAAATTTCCAAAAACTAACTTTACTTGAGAAAAAACTGAGCCTTCAAATCTAAAAAAGCTATTGTTGGCATGCTTGATCACTTTATTCGCTCGAACTTAAACAGGAAATCAAAAATTTTCAGCCCGCTTTTCGATACTGGGACAGTTTTTCTCTAATGTCGTTCGAATCACGACGGGACATTTTAATATATGATATATCACTCGACTCATTGCAATAATTATGCGTGAAAAAAAACCAAAACATACCCGAGTACAAAGTTTCTCCGCATTTTATTTTGTGAGCCATACTTTATAGAACATGACACAAAATCAGAGATTTTGTCACATCCTTTTTTCCCAATTCCTATTTTATCAAAACTTTAAATTAAATCTGATGAAAAAAAAACACACCGTGCACCAATTTTCCAGTGAATTTTACAAGCCGAAGCAAAAAAACCCATTTTTCGAATCATTGAATTAAATAAAAAACCTTAAATTTGTAAATCGGTATCGAAACACTTCTAACAAGTTTAGCATTGATCTTTCATGGTTGAGTTTGAAGAGATAATTAGTTGAAAATAACAAATTAAAATCAAAAGGATAACATGAACTAAACTGCTCGTATGAAGATGAAGTATCAATGTACTGACTGCTCTTTCAAGTTTCTAATGTAACTTAAAAAAATAAGAATCTGAAAAAAAAACTTGAAAAATTGGAAATTTCTCTATTTTTTCAAAATCACCGAATACGCAAGGTTTTAATAAATTAACAATCTTTGGGTCCTTTACCTTCTGCCCAAAAAATCATTTTTCATCATTTTGAATTGAAACTGTTTTGCTTCAATCTGATTGGCTAGAACTAGCAAGTCAAATTTTAGCAAAAGCTCAAATTTAGCAACAGTGAACATACTTTTAATTCGGCACATGAATCAGTGAAGTGGTCAAAAACACAGATAGTGATGTAAACTATTCGAATGAATAACAAATAATTTGCCGCGTTTCACCCAGACCAGAAAAAACTGCAGAGAATAGCTCCAGAAAAAAATACACATTCATATCTGTTTAAGTTTCAGCCATGTTAGAAACCGGCTAAAGAATAAAAACGATGACATTTGTTTCAACTAAACCAATCAGTGAAATCAGTGTTTTTTTCCGCACTTAGACATTGAATATTGCAAAATCGAAAATTTAGAAATTCTGAAGGAATAATTAGAAAAGACCCCAATTTTTTCTACAACAGTTAGTTTTTTGAGCTTTCACACGATTTTCTGTTGTTTTAAGCAAGTCATACCTGCATCACAATAAGCGAAGTTTGCTTTTTTCTTATTGTATAAATATTCTTTTTTTTATCTGACACCAAATTTCTGTAAAACAATAAAAACAATCAGTTTAACATCCTCCCCAGATAGACCAAGTTAGGATTTTCCACCCTAGCATTTAATTTAAATTAAATTTGCTTAGCACTGCGTGCAAAACGCTCGATTATAATAGGCTGAAAATTCCAAGTTAGTAACAAATTAACAACTTCCTCTTAATCTGGTTTAGAGATGACAACGTTATCTTGGTCCAACTTACGTTTTTATCAAAGAAAGTTGCATTCATTGAAAATAAAAATGATCTTAGGTTAATTTAGGAGAAAGCAAAATCAATTAATTTCCTTTTTTCTTTGCCAAACTCAAATTTAAAACTGGCCGTAGGTTTTCGGATTTCGTAACTACACGTTTTTCGTTCGTTTATTTCTGTTTTTAGTTTGTTTTAAAATCTTCAGAATCAAAATTTTGTGGATTTCTGCTTCTTTGTTTTTTGTTTTAGTTAAATTTGACAGAATATGGATTTTAGATATTAAAAACGCAAATTTTCCGATTTATTTTGCCAATTTAGTGAGAGAAAATTCTTGCATGTAGTCTGCCTGATGTAGGCAACATTAAAAAAAGGCACAAGAGGGGCTCACAAGGAGCTGAATAGCTCTCATTCTCCACTCCATCGTTGATAAACAAAAAGTTTCAAAAATTCATAAAACAGTTAGATTTTTTTTAGACTAGTCATGCGCTAAACTCTAGTCAAAACAACGTGCGAATGAATGAAAGTCAAATTATGGACTTAAGGCAAAAACGTTTTTAGGAAAATGTTACTACATTTCTGCGAACTTATTAGCATCCATAGGGCAGCTCGATAAGATAAAAGGTTATTTTTTGACAACAATATCCTAATTTTTAAAAGAGATGCCCTAGATTAACAAATCTTACCTGCACATTCAATTCAAAGGTACATTCAATTCATAAGGTAATCTTTCAAGTTCAATTTACTTGCAATAAAGACCAAATCAACTCAAGAATTGCAAAACAAAGTTCAAGTTAGCTGAAGGTGGCGAGAGTTCATTTGAAAGATTTAACTGACGACTTCGTGAACAGAAATTCAGTTCAAACAGAGATTCACCAAACCTGTTCACATTTCAGAGCTACAGTTTAGGGTCTCACTGACAAAACAACAAATATACTATTTAATATAGTATATCACACTTTCAGTTATTTTCTTCTTTAAACATAAGTATCTTGGGCAAATTGCTCAACAAACATAAACCTATTAAGTTGGTCTAAATCAAGAAATTGACCAAAAGATTAGATGTTTTTCAAGGCCGGATTTTTCATAGACAGTGACAAACTTGTTAATTGACCTACAATTTGCGCACAGGCTCCGTTGGCGCCAAAACTGACATATAAGGAGGGTAGCAACTAATTATGGCTTTTTGGGCAAATTCTGAGCAAATTCTGATTGTGGCTTGAGAGTTTCAGGCATATTAGAATTCTTGTGGTTTTTTGAGGGGCTGAAAAAATCACTTTAGTGCCAAGCAATTTTAGTTTTTTGTGTACTCCCTGGAACTAACTTTTGCATATGCGGTACGAAAAAATTAGCAGAACAAAAAAACTGGTCTGACAATCGAATGCTCTGAAGGCTACGCATTTGCATCAAAGAGCTCCTAGTTTTTCACAATCGGATTTAAACACAAAACTAAGTAAACTAGGATAAGGTTATATCTTCGTGAATTGTGTCGTATAATAACTATTACAAAGGACAGTGTTTTTAAGAAAAAGCGTTTTGGGTATTTAAAGTTTTGACGTTCAAAATCACTTTGAATCACAAAAAAATGAAAACCTGCACACACCTATCTAATTTAACGAACAACAGGTAATGTGCGCCATACATCTAAATACAACAAAATAGCCTTTGTTAGGCAAGAATCACAGATAGCTCCAATCAAAATAATAATAATAATAATAAAACAGATCTGCGCTATTTCTTTCATATTGTGTCATTTTTATAGACGGTGTGATGAGAGGATCTGGTCAAAAGCCTAGACGTTAGGGATATTCAATAGTATCAGTAAATTAGCTATTTTCGAACTCATTTTCTTCGGATAATATATAGAAACAAAGATTTTTTTAGAAAACAAGGAAATTTTTTGCAGAAACATGGATTTATTTTAAAATTTTCGGTAGAAAGCGCTGAATGAACAACTGGCAACCTGAATTTAATGGCGTAAGCTAAGTTGTCGCGGCCTTATTTGAATAATAAGAATGAGAGTAGTTTAAATCAGTTTTTCTCAACACTGGAAAAATTTCTAAACGTCGATCGAATCACGACTATACGGGCTTTAATTTGATAAATCATTCCGATGATTGATTCTGGTAATAATTTTGCGTAAAAGAAGAAAAAGAAATTACGACAACAGAAAGACAAGCTGGTCGTCTCATCTCAAAAAAAATCTATTACAAGTAGAATGTTAACAGCAACTAAAACTGTTGAAAGGCATGCTAAAAAACTATCGCTAGAATTAGTTTAATGTAGTTGATGGACAAAAAACGCTCTAAAATTAAATGATTGAAAAACATTTATGACATTCATCACGCACTGAGCTCTATGGATGTCAACCGATTAAAATGGATTTGAGAGACAAAAATGTTCCGTTATAAACCATTACAGATGTAATGTAAAATTCAGATGACAAAATCGATTTTGTTGTTACTATAATCGATTATGTTTGAAACAAGAAGACATTATAAATCCTTATAGTTGATAACTATCTATTTGTTGCCACTTAAATTGAATAATTTCGTCACGACGATTCATGATAATTGCATTTTAAAAAATGAAAAATCCAATATAATATATTATAATCGATTCCAATCCAATTTTTTTTCGGAATTAAATTTGATTACTTTGCAGAAACTTTGCAAATTTTGCGAGAAATTCTTCGCCTTGTCTTTTAAATTTTTAACAAGCGAGAAGATAAAACACGTTCAACAGACCACATCCCTATGTGTACAACCATACCCCTTAACCATTAACCCATTAGTTTAACCATTGAAAAAAATTTAATAATATATTTTTATTTTAAAGTTCTACGAATTAAAAATTGTGAAATTTTTAATGGATTATAATCATTTTTCTTGTAATTTTAAAGATATTGTCGGTTGCAATTCAAACCGGTTATGATAGTTTAACTTTTTTAAAAGGTTCTTTCATTGAATAATTTTGTGAGTGCCGCAATTTCTAGCCGTTTTAGACCAGTAGGCTAAAATCATCAAAAATTGTAACAAATTTAGGTTAAAATTCTTTGAAATAGACTGTTTTGAGTAAAACTAAACTCCTTGATTGAAGAAAAAGTGTATTGCATTTTCCAGCAATTTTTGCGATTTGAGTTGCGAAAATGATCGTTTAAATTTGTTTGAAAATTTGGACATTGGAGGCAAAATTTAGAGCAGAACACTTCCACAAGCAGAATTAGAGTTTTATAATGGTTAACAGTCTCTCACATTGATGAAAGTAGATGAATAAATTTTGCTCATGGAGATGCCACCCGACAGGCCACCTGACCTTTTTGGTATTCTCCCAAAGCGAAATAAATTTTAAACTTTGATAGAATCTATGCTTATAAGTTTTGGCTTGAAAAAAAATTATTTTGATTATTTTTACAAGGCGGATAACCGCCAGGTGTTTCCCTTAGCCCTTCGTGTCTCGGGACTGGCAAACACGCGCTCCATATCAGTCGGTTTGCATTATAAATAGCATTTCGGTTTTGCGCATTGACCATTTCTGTTTTCAAACCCTTATTATCTTAAAAGGGCCTCCCTTAGAATTGGGCTGCATGCATCGTTTTTTCGTGAAAGGGAGACTTTTTTCGTTCAAACAAACAAAGGGCAAATTATAGGCCAAAAATTAAAAATATATATTCAAAAAAGCCCCCGCATAACGAGGTTTTTGTTTTTGAAAATTGGATCAATTGGATCAACGGCTGCAAAACGGAAGAAGTCATGACAGTTTTGTATATTTTCAGCAATGAAAAATTGAAAAGGCTGCGCTTTAAGTGTTGCTTAAAGCAAGAACAACAAAATTGAGAATCTGTGAATATTGAATTGAACCACACTAACCTTTTTGTTGCTGTGATGCTTTCAAAAATGCAAAAATTTGCAGTAGAGAGCCGCCGCTTAAATTCAAATTGTGTTTTCTTCTATAAGCCACATGTAAACAAAACCAGATGTTTTTTCATGTTTATCTCAATCACATTAATATTAATAAAAATTGGTCAGCGGGCCAGTAGAAAAAACACAGCTTCCAGGCATATTTTTTGAACACTACTTCCATGATTTTTAAATTGACAGACTTTGATTATAATAGGATTTTTCAATGTCTGGTGCCTTGATTTGAAGATAGTAGATTAATTTGGTTGAACTATTTTACAGGAAAACAACTGATAAAAATAATTTCAACTTTCTCGCTGCTGAGTATGTGTACCTGAGATATTATAGTAAGGTTTTAAATAAAATTCGGGATCGAATAATAGACCTGCAATGGGCGCAGACTTGAGTTATGCGTTGAAATATGGTAAATTAGGTGAATAACACTGAAAGGATATACAAAAAAACTGAAGCAGAAAAAGTAAGAAGGGGAACAAAAAAAACAAGACGCAAAAGATATCCACCAGTGCTTTTTTTCAAACTCTTCAGAGCGTGTAAAAGAAATTGTTTTCACTCATCAAATGCAGTCGCTTCAAAATAAACGCGGCTGAACAAATCTTTTCAAGCCGCGAAAAAATTGTTCGTTCAATTCTATTTGAATAATGATCACTCTGAACCAAATTCCAGATTAAATTAAAAGCCAGGAGCAGAATTCGCCTAATGGACCCAGCTTGAAATAAGGGCTGAAGAACCCTTCTGGACTGGAACAAAATCTTTGATCCCTTTTTAGCCGCTCTCAGATAATGTGCTTTCAGTCGCCCGCCCGATCAACAGAAAATTTCAAACAAAAAAGACGTAAAAATCAATTCCCTGATGTTTAATTTGAAAATATAAAAAAGTAATCGCATTAACTGGCCGGAAATGGGGCCCAAAACCTGTATGTGGTGGCTTTCATTCGCAGTGTATGTTTTATGCTCTGAAACTAGTTTAAATGCCCTGTAGATTCCAATCGAGATTGCGGGGCTCAGGTGCTTAACATTACCCGCAATTGCTTATGCGACATGCTAATTGAGCTCTGTGTTATCTGATACGCGGCGGTGTTTGCCTACCCTTTAGATTCGGGGCTGCTCAGACTGTGACGTCAATTGATAATAATGCTCCTTTCTCTTCAACAACATCAATAGGGGCCAAAGAGGGGCAAATGTCCGATGGTGAGTGAAACTCCCCTCCCCAAACAAGTAAAAAAAATGGGATTATGATAGCATCAGGCATACCCAAGACTCAGTTGTGTTCTGGAATTTTTTGTCTGGGACCGTTTTTGGAAGTTTTTGCCGACCTTTTTATAGATCAGAGCCATTATAATATTTTTTGATATCTGCCGCAGCATGTCATCAGTCTTGTTTTACTCAAGTAAAAAAAAACTTACCTACATTATACCACAAACTGATTCAATGAAGTTTTTGTGCTAGGCTATTTTCTGAATTTCCGCACAAGCTTTGAAATAATATTTTGAACTAATATAAATCATTGCCAGGAAAAATACACCAACCGGAAGCATTGCCCTAAAGTCAGTTCTTTTTTCGGAAGTTTTAACAATCAGTTGGTTGCACAAGGTCGTACATGTTATGTTGGAAAGAAGAAAGATGTAAAATTTAAGACGAATATAAGAAGCTGGTTTGAAAACAAAAGGGCGCATTTTGAGCTGAAATACCAAAATGGAAGCAAGAATGGTGTGTGGTAAATATAAAAAATGACCCACTTCAACATGAAATAGAAATTCACGCCATGCGCATATGTTTGAACACATTGAAAAAAGCAATTCGAAAAGGACGCATTTTTTAATCAAACGAAGAAGCCATTTTATTGAGGATGAGATTAATAATGAGGTCTGAGAACAATTCGACTCAGTTTACTGACCACAATTTGCCTCAATTTGTAACAAATCAAGGGGGGGGCTCCCCATCTGGATGCCCAATTTTTCCAAAGCTTTGGTTTTATTTTATGACATCCATTTCTAGGCTACTAACAATAAAATTATTCTGAAGGCAGCTTTGGCGCCAATATATTCCAATCCTGAGAGAGTAAAGCGCCAAAAAACGTGATTTCTTGGTCAAACCAAAAACTTCTAACAGAGCCAATTTGGCTCTTTTAAAAGAAATAGCTTTGAGTACAATTTTTTTGCAGAAAGGGATTTTGATAGTATGTCGTTCGATTGGATAATTAAATGAAGCTGACAAGTTATCTAATTTAATTGAATCGGCCTTGAAAGTCAATTTTACTGGAAGAGCAATGATAGTCATCTATCAATACGGTAGCTTGCGAGCTGCGATCTAAATTCAATGTTCCTAGATTTTATGAACCTAATACTGTTGCTCTCAATTTATAACTTTTTGTATAAGAACCTGATTAATCACCGAAACATAACTATTAAGTGGTTACCAATTGCACTATCGGCATGTTAAGACCCTATTCTGAAGCATCGGTAATCATTGTATGTTATTTCTCACAATCAGCAATATCGAAAGAGCCCACTGAGCATACCATCGTTTTGGCATAAACATTCTAAAGACCCCCAAATGCAATGGATCAAATGAATCATAATTTCAGTTTTTAACTTGGTTTTGAAAGACGGTCTATCTATATCTTGAGCATGGAGAATTTTGACCAATTAAGAATAGCCAAAGCAGTTGAAACGTTTTTGAAACGTTTTTTTTTCTAGAATACATCTCGTATCAGGACAGCCCTGAAAGTTTGGACAGCCCTTCAAAGACGATGAAAAGGTTATGGCTTTAAAAATTGTTGAAAACGTAAAACAAATTGAAATTGTATCACACAATACTTGATATGGCGCGTGGGGGATGAGCAAATACAAAAAAAGGATAGCCGATTGCTGTTCAAGTAGCACAGAATGTTCCGACAATAATCTTAAAGAATTATAAATTTTTTTTTGTTCAATTTAGTGTTTTTCTGCGTGGTGTGATGTAAACTAAAAATTAGAACTGACATATATTCGACGGAGGTAAAAAAATTATTCCAATTCGAAATCAGTTTTTCTAAAATGTTTAGAATTTTTGAACTTTGTGGTTCCCAAAACTGCGCCAGGTAAATAATTAAGCTTAATTAAGCTTAAATAAGCTATCGTAAGCCTGCACGCCCAACTCTTCAGCTCGAAATTGTTAGACCGAAAAGCTAAAACTTCAATACGGTTGTTCTCGACACTGAGAAAAAACAATTTCAAAATTTTCAATCCCGTTCAATTCACGGCTAAAATGAGTTTAGTATGATATATCACTCAACTTATTCCGATGATTACCTGTGGTACCTGACTTTGTCTGGAAAACAAAAAGAAAAAGAGACTAAAAGACACCCGAATACAAAGTTCCTACCCATTTTAACGGCCGGAACGAAAAAAAAATCACAAATTATTACGGCAATTTGCAAACAGCGGGTTTTTACTCGAGATAATCAAGAACCTACAAGATTTATCACTTGATATTTATCAAGTTAATATGGAATTGTTCGAACAATTTGAAAAATGTGGAGGAACTTTGTGATCGGGTGCGTTTTAGCTTTAATTTTTTTTGCTGTTTCTCACGCAAAATCTGGTGCCACGAACAATCATTAAAATGGGACGACTGATTTATTCCGCTAAAGCCTTCTCAGTGGTAAATCAAAAGAATTTGAAAAAATTCTCAGAGGCGAGAAAAACTAGTTTAAAGTTTTTGATTTTTGGTTTAATTTCAAAGAATTAAGGTGATTGTGCAGGCTTACAAAAGCTGATTTAAGCTTAATTTAAGACGTGAAAACTTAATCAAGTTATATTTTAAAGTTTTTAGCGCCAATTTGGAAGAAATGAAATTTAAAAAAAAAATCAGTCATTTTGCTACAAAAAATGTTTTCCAACTGGCCTACTTTACAATGATGGTCAAATACGCCCAATTTCTATTTTTTATTTCTAAAACTACAATGATTTGAAAAAAAACTTTTAATGACCAGGATTGGAACATTGTGTGCTACTTGCACAGTAACCGGGAATCCTTGCTTAATATGTAACTCATTATGTAACCATTATATGTATTTAATTTGTAATCACTTCATATTTGTAACGTGATGGTTAATTCTCCATTTCTTTATTTCAAAAGATCTGTGCGACAGTGAACTCGGATCATAGCTTTCAGACTACCTTATTAGCAGTTGATCATCAGGGCCGATCCTGTTGTTTCACCTGTTAGGCTGATCATCAAAAAAGTATTTTCTTAAACATATCAGTTTCTATCGCCAAGTCCTAACGCATGACAATCAGCGGCTGGCTAAGTATTTCTGAGAGTTGATAGTCCTCGGTTGATAGTTCTGTAATTGTTAAATTATATTTTTGTTTCTCTCTACTAGCGTTCTCTCTTAGCTGAGTGTCTAATTGAACAGATACCTGACAGAAAACGGATCTATATACACCCAATGGTGATCTCCCGGGAATTTGCAAATTTACCTAATCCGCACTGTATTTCCATGTATAAAATCGTGTATATTTGAGTTTTATTGTCACCGCCTATGCAAGTGAAAAACAATCAATTATAATCAACTAAAATAGGATTAATTTGCTGTTTATGAATAAAGCAAGAAATTCATTGCAGATCCATTATAATGAATTATTTCTCACTTTTATAGCTACAGGGAATGAACCACTATCATAATTGGTTCCTTCTTTTTTTTAGATGCGAAATTGAACGCATACGGATGCGAATTACAGCGCTCGTTCGTAAATTTTAAATTTCGTTGAAATTCGGGTAGACTTTCGATAGGTAAGTATTGTACCTTTAGTCTTTCTATCCACTCTATTCTGGTATTTTGTACAACAATTAATTTGAGTTTCCTAATATACTTAAAAATTACTGTTGTATCGGTACTTATACTGTTATGGAGAAATTAATTATTTCTTCCTTTCTTTCTTTTTTTTAAAAACAAAGTTGTGGAGCTGTTGCTTCAATCTAAATTTCTTTTCTTTTCTGCGCAACTTTGTTTTTTGTTACTCATTTTATGTTACTCTGTTATGTTGCTTTCAACCATTTCTTAAATTCACTTAGAAAATTGGGGCTATGGGATTGAAACTAGGAGGTTGACAATGTTTTTATGTATTTTTTTATAAGTGTTTATTTTAGAAGAAAAAGCGCGCAATAAAAAATAACAGTTTTCCAGCAAATACTTTCTAGAAGTATCCCAAAGATGGTCTTTTTGACATGCTTAAAAAAATTAAATTTGGAGGTGGATATCAATGAATGTATTTAAATATGTAGTTGTTCCGATTTTCAAAGAAAACAAACTTTTATGCACGGTGTGGTTTTTTATTTAGTCAATATTTGCCGATCGAAATAATAGTTTTCAAAAAAAAACTTTTTATACCCCATTGAAGATATTGACTTCTTGAGTTCAAATGAAAAAAAGAAATTTTGTCTCCGGTTGTTTTTTGTAAAGTTCTGGGGGCTTGAAAATTGCCAAAGTGGCAATGTTCTGGACTAAATTATTCGCGCTTTGAAGAGTTTTTTCTAAATGCTGGAAGCGCAACTTATTCCGCATAGTTTGGAACAATATCGCTTCAAATTGAATTGAGGCTAGCTGCTAATATCGTATGATTGAAAGTTTCACACTTTGATATTGTCCAAAACTTTTAGGTTTTCAATGTTTTTTTACCAAAAACTATTCGATATGAATT